AAAAAACTTCCAGGCCAGAGGGGTAGCAGCCTGGGTCTATGGAGAACTGTTCTAAGGGGTGAGTCCAAGACTGTTATGGCAGGAAAGATGGCAGCGGGCAGGTGGGCATGGTGCTGGAACAGTTGCTGAGAGTTCTTATCTTGATCAACAAGCAGAAGGCAGAGAAAAGGGCAACTGGGAACCTGGGAGCAAGTTGGTGTTTTGAAACCTCAAAGTCTGCCCCTCGTGAGGTGCCTCCTGCAACAAGGCCACACCTCCTAATCCTTCCCAAACAGTTCCACTAACCAGGGACCAAGCATTCAAACACATGAGCCTGTGGGGCCATTCACGTTCTAATAACCACAGACCAAGAAAAGAGCAAGCACCTGGCCTCAGGTAGATCCCAAACCTCAGAAACATGTCATGTACCATGTGCATGCATGCTTGGTGCCCAACGAGGCCAGAAGAGGGCATTGGATATCCTGGAACTGGAGTTACATATGGTTGCAAGCTACCATGTGGGTGCTGGGAATCAAGCCCGGGTTCTCTGCAAGAGCAACCCATGCTCTTAACCACTGAACGCTCTCTCTCTAGTCACTATTTTTATTTTATGTGTATGAGTTCTTCATTTGCTTGCATGTATGTATATCACATGTCTGCTCAGTGCCCAAGGAAGCCAGAAAAAGGGAACCAGATCCCCTGGAACTAGAATTACAGATGTTTGTGAGCAGACATGTGGATGCTGGGAACTGAAAGTCGGTCGGTCCTCTGGAAGAGCAGCCAGTGCTCCTAACCACTGAGCCACCTCTTCAGACCCCATGGTGTTCCTTACCTTCACTAATGTCCTGCTTTGGAGAATCACTTAGTTCCTGTGACTCTTATACCGTCACCTGGAATGTCACATCTGTATTGGGGGAGTCCTTCTCTCCCTCCATTTCTCCCAGGGGTAGGCACCTCCCCTGGGAATCAGAATGTCTGAGGAACAGGAGAAGGGCAGAGACAGCCAACCAGCAACCACATTCTCCGAGCCTGGCACCACCCCCAGGCAGAGGGCCACCATCACCAGCAGTGTGTGACCTCAATTTAACCTTTCATCACTCCAGAACATTGTTTCTCAACTGATTTTAGAAGGAACACAAAATGACCTTAGGGCTCTTTTTTGGCAATATTTTATGTTTCTGAACATGACAAATTAAACAGTCTGGTCTGATAAAAACAAGTGCCACGTCCAAACTGTAAGGTACTTCTCCACTTGGGTTCTGGACTTCTACCTGCCCATGGCTAGTGCCAGTAGGGTCCCCTGGTACCTCCTAATCCCACCTGGTACCGACTCCAGGCCTGAGGCTCAAGGCTCCCTCCCCTGCAGGCTGGACGAAGCCTTGTCCTCGGTAGGTTTGCTGACATGACTTGACGCTATACTAACCACCTTTTTCTCCTCTGAATGTGCCTTGGGACACAAGGTCATACCCAGAACACAGGGCGAAGGTGAAGCAGGAAGCTGTCAGAGGAGCAGAAAGACACGCTTTGTTTTGGGGTTTTGTTTTTGTTTTGTTTTTTTTTTCCCATTCCTGTCCCCACAGGGCCCAGCCGCTGCCAGGTGGTGTCACCGGGTCTCATTAGACCATCCCAGTGGCAGTGACTCAGCAGCCAGACTGGGCCTGAGAATGGGCATTTCTGAGGAGCCCTTGGGTGATGCTGACGTTCTAGGCCACCGAGAACCGCTGTCCCCTTGCATCCAGAAGAGAACAGAAAACTGGCAGAAGCCCACTGACCTGGGCCACAAGTCCCCCTGTAGAAGGGGCTCAAAGGATGCTCTCAACAGCAGCCAGCACCACCTAGGCTGGCTCTGCAGAAGGAGGCAGGGAGCAGATCCATTACAGAGGACCAGAGGGGTGGTCAGAGGAACTGGCCGATGAGGCCTGAAAGCTGAGGGAGGGTCAACCATGCAGTGAGGTAGAGCTTGGAGGGTGATCAAGGGGCAAGAATAGATGGGTCTTCATAGACACTCATTGTAGGTTCCTGTCTTAGTGTCCTGTTGCTGTGAAGAGACACCATAACCAAGAAAACTATTCTAAGAAGAAAGCATTTAATTGGGAGCTGGCTTTCAGTTTCAGAGGTTTGGTCCATTGTCATCACGGCAGGGAGCATTGCAGGCATGCATACAGACACTAGAGCAGCGGCTGAGAGCTACATCCTGATCCTGATCCTTAGCCAGCGAGAAAGAGAGACTCTGGGTTTGGCACTGGCTTTTAAAACCTCAAAGACCACCCCTATTGACACACTTCCTCCAACCAGGCCACGCCTCTTAATCCTTTTAATCCTTCTCAAATAGTGCCACTCCCTGAGGACTAAGCATTCAAATGTATGAGCCTATGGGGGCCATTCTTATTCTAATTACCACAGTTCCTTAGAAAACAACAGCATATGGACACAGAGAAAAAGAATCAGGGAGAACCAAGCAAGTCTGGACATTGTGCATATGACAGAGCCAAGAGTCTTGGGTGTCCACCGTCAGCCATAGAAACTGACAGGGCTGACATCTGTCAGAACAGAAGTGATGGCCCCAGGGAACAGGTTGTAAAGTCAGGATCAGGGATGACGGGAATGTCTTTAGTCTCAAAGCCAGGCAAAAAAAAAAAAACAAAAACCTAAATTAAAAGAAACTGTGACTGTGTGGGTTTAAATGGTCTTTCTGGGTTAGGGCATAGCTCAGTGGCAGATCGCTTGCCTAACATACACAAGGACCTGGCTAGGATGCCTGGTGCTGAAAAACAGCAAAGACACCACAGTGGCTAATTTCTTATTGATGCTGTAGGTCATCTAGTGGGACCTGGTACATGGACCTGACTCTGACGTCTACTGCTTCCACATGGATTCCACCATGTCCTTCAGTTTCTTAGACTTGGGGTTCCATGCATGACCATGTTGTAACACACAGACATGCTCAGTGCTGTAACTATACTTATCAGGACTGCCAGCTCACAGATAATGACTGACATGGAGACTTACTTTGAATTATTAAAACTTGGCCTTAGCTTAGGCTTGTCCTTAACTAGTTCTTCTAACTTAAATTAACCCATATTTTTTAATCTATGTGCTGTGGGATGGTCTGTATGTCAAATGTGTTGCTCTGATTGGTCAATAAATAAAACACTGCCAGGCAGTGGCCAGGCAGGAAGTATAGGCGGGACTAACAGAGAGGAGAATTGAGAGAACAGGAAGGCAGAGGGAGACTCTGCCAGCCATCACCATGACAAGCAGCATGTGAAGATGCTGGTAAGCCATGAGCCATGTGGCAAGGTATAGATTTATAGAAATGGATTAATTTAAGATGTAAGAACTAGATAGCTAGAAGCCTGAGCCATTAGGCTATACAGTTTGTAAATAATATAAGCATCTGTGTGTTTATTTTATAAGTGGGCTGTCAGACTACCAGGGCTTGGCAGGACCCTGAGAGAAAACTCTCCAGCTACATCCATGTTCTGGTCCTTGGTTTATTACCTCATCTCTGTACTGCCCATCTTCCTTCCTCCACATCTGGCTGGCAACTCCACCTTTCTTCCTCCCAGAGTTCTCTCTCTGCCTGGAAGTCCCACCTATTCTTTTTTGTCTAGCTATTGGCTGTTCATCTTTTTATTACACCAATCACAGCAATACAGCTTCACACAGTGTATAAATAACCCACAACACAGTGCACCATGTGTGCTGATTTGCAGCACTATGTATCTTATTTTAAAAACAATAAACCATGGAACCAGTGGGTAATACAGTAGAGGGAGAGTTTCCCAAGTGCATTTTCATCTTTCATTCCCCCATAAACTCCATGCCAGACACTCTAGAAAATCTAAAGCTGGGGCAAGACAAAATGAAGCCACCTGCCTTGGTGTCAAACTCTGATTCCAAAGTTAGAATCCTCAAACAAGCACATCTCCAAATCTAGATTGCTCACTCTTGACTCCCTGCCCTTAAAACATTAAACACAGGCTCCAGAACAGTTCAAAGTGGAATATAAAAAGCTAAGGGTGTCACTTAGGGGTAGAGAGTGCTTGCCTACCATGTGCAAGGCCCTTAGTTCAGTCCCTAGCATCACAAATAAACAAAAAACAAAATAACAAGAAAACCCTTCTAATCTCTCCTTCCCCTTGACTGACCTAAGCAGCAGATTCTTCTTAAAACATAACAAGCCAATCCCACTGAAGAAAACTCCCAGGTTTGGAAGGAAGGAATCCAGCAAATGGACTTGGGTGGTCACATGAGCTCCAAATAGCAAGATCCCTGGGAGACAGGAGGCCAGCTCAAACAGGCTGAGCAGAAGGACCTGAAAACCGAAGGGGACTGTCCCAACCAGTCAGCTTTCAAGAAGAGGGCATCAAGAAGGTCCTTGCCCCAATCACCTTGAGAGTCACAGCATAAAAACTCCAACTTCAGAGCGAGCCAAGTGCCAGTGTTTATACAACCTAGTCAAGTGGTCATCCATCCACACAGCTTAGAGAGAAAAGAAGGTCAACACATCACATCAGCTTAGAGTTTGGAATAAAACCTACCTCTTCTGGCAAAGAAAGAAAGCCTGCAGAAGCAAGCCCCAGACTGGACCTCCCATTATCTCTGTCTGTCCTAGAACCTATCCCTGGAGTGGGAAGACAGCTGGATTGCTTTCTTTCTCTCATGATTAAATGAGAATTGTTCTTCCAAACAGTGTCAACTTCTATCCTGTACTGGGTATGTGGCAAATTACCTTGGCTCCCATGGGAAGCTAGGTTGTTAAGTCATGCTGAGTCACTGGGCTTCCAGTGACTAGGGAGGTCACCAGCAGGTTGAGGCAGGCTGGGGCTGGCAGTGTCCTCCTTGCCCTCCATGCCCACAAAGGCAGAGCTTGGAGTAAGTCCAAGAAGTGGTGCACACGGGCCGGCACACAGCAGGTCTCTCTCTCAGGACTGGAGGTGGCCCTGTCGGAGCTCCTAGGACCTGTTGCCAAGAGAATGCACAGAGGTGAAGCCAGTGAATGCGACGGAGAGACTCACCAGGAGAAATGTTCCCTCCAATAACAAACAGTGGGCCCGTTAGCATCAAAGCAGAAAGATGACTTTGACTGAGTGTTTGCTGGTGTTTGCTTGTTTGTGAGAGGTCTCACGTGGCCAGGCCAGCCCTGAACTTGGATCATCCTTCCTCTACCTCCCAACTATTGGGATGATGGGAAAGTGCCAGAAGACCTGACCCAGGTTAGTATTTTTTAAACTGTCCACTGGGGGTGGGGAGGGCAATGATGTGGCTCAGTAAGTAAATAGACTTGCTGTTAAGGCTGACGATGTGAGTTCGGTAGCCACGTGATGGAAGGAGAGAACTGGTTCCCTGCAAGTTGTCCTCTGACCTCCACAGGCACGCTGGCTTGAGTGCATGCATGCACACACCACACACACACTCACACACATGCATACACACACGCACACACACATATACACAACAACAACAACAACAATATATGTGAATTTTTTTAAACCTATAGGCTGGGCAGATAGGGCAAGATTACCCAGAGGGCTGAGTCAAGAGGACTGAATAAACACAGCCTGGGCAACATGATGATACTTCGTCTCAAATAAATGAATGAAAATTTTAGAACTGCATCATTCCTTCTGATATTAAATTATCTTCACTAAATGAAACAAGCGAACAAAAAGGCAGGCATGGTGGCACACATCTTAAATCCAAGCACTGGGGAAGCAGAGGTAGATGGATCTCTGAGTTTGAGGCCAGCCTGGTTTACAGAGCAAGTTCCAGGAAAGCCAGGACTGTTACACAGAGAAACCCTGTCTCAGAAAACAAACAAACAAAAAAATGAATTGATTAATCCCATTGATGAATAGTGATATTTTCAGTGCTATAAGGTTAATTGCTATAGTTCCTTCGAAGTTCCCACAGAACCTCCATGTTTTCCTCCTTTTCCAGTATCACTGACCATAACCAGCAATATGTGTAAAACTCTAGACAAAGCTGAGCTGCTGCCCATACCAGCCAGTGGACCCAGGCTCTCAAGGAGGGCATGTACAGGGCCAGCTACGGACTCCTTCAAGCCTAGCTCCAAGGTCAGAGTTCACTTCTGCATGAGCCAGGGGCGGCCAGGAATTCCTTCCATTGCTGCACAGGTGACCCCAGTCTTACAGGCCAGCCAGGGCCGGGCAGGACTGAACTACACAGTCACTGTTTCTTGAAGTCTGAAGGTCCTTCTGACCACTTGTCACCCTGAGCAGAACAGACACAGGATCATCACCTGTGGGTGGCACTGCTGTGTTCTACTCCAGAGTAAACCTCACTAGCTACCCATATTTGACTGAAGAGAAAGGATGGGGAGAAAGGAAAGATGACGGGATGGGTTAATTAGGGACTTTGCTCCCTGATCTCTTAGCAGCTCTGTGACCTCAGAGCTGTTGCTTGGCCTCTCTGAGCCTTGGTTCTTCATTCACCCTTAGGCTGGATTCCCCAAGGCTTAGCTGCTTCCCTTGGTTGTCTGACCCTCTCTCTACTGCAGCCAAGTTCAAGTGCAGTGAGCAGAGAAAATAAGCGTTCCTCCTCCAAACAGTGGAATTTCAGGAAGGGGTGGGTATGTGCTGTGGAATAATCCTTCTGTACACTGTGAAGATTTGTCACTGTGGTTGGCTTAATAAAGAAGCTGACTGGCCAACAGCTGAACAGAATAAAGTCAGGTGGGAAAGCCAACTGAAAATGATGGGAAGGATAAGGGCAGAGTCTGGAGTCACCAGCCAGACGCAGAGGGAGCAGGAGATGAATGTGCCATGCTGATAAAGGTATTGCCACATGGCAGAGTGTAAATAAGGAATATGGGTTAACTTAAAATGTAAGAGTTTAGTTAGTAATAAGCCTGAGCTATTGACCCAACATTTATATTTATATTAAGCCTCCAAGTCAAGTATTTGGGAAGCAGCTACCAGGTATTTGAGACCAGGCAGATGGGAAAGAAATATCTGACTACATATGGTGTTCCAATGTGGGGGCAGAAATTTCCACATAAGACCTGACAAAGCTTTAAAAAGGATTCTAGACACACAAGAATGGAGTCAAGCACAGCTTCTTGGTAACGGTCTTTCCTCTGATAAGCTCTGTTTGCTGGCGGCGGTGAGCAGAGGTGCAGCTCCTTTAAGAAATGGCTTCCTGATTCAACGTTAACTGCAACACCTGTGCTGCTCTTTTAAGAGGCCCTGCTACTGAGCACTTGGAGTTTATGAGCAGCGGGTGCCTCACTACTCAGCGGCAGTGTGGACCCAAAGGCTTCCCAGAGTTGGGGTGGTAAACATGGTTCCCAGAGCTGGCAGTAAATGTACCCCCGCCATAAGACTAGCCTCTCAGGGAACCAAGGAATAGGGAAGAGCCAGCCGCCAAAGCTGCTGCTTTATTCCTAGCCACGCTGCTTACAAGTTTAAAGACTCATGTGGTCAGCAAAAGATAGGCAATAAAGACAAACTCAGACAAAACAAACAAACAAACAAAAAAAAATCTCTAAACAGGTTACAGTGTGTTTAAAAATATATCTAGGCTTGGAAGAGAAAAGAAAAAGAGTAAAGAAAGTCCTTAAAAAAGGAACAGAGTAATAAAAAAATGTAATAAGCCACATAAAGATGAAAAATACAGAGTCTGGATTATGTATAATATTGTGTCGTCTTTAAATTTTTTGGCTGCTAAGAGACCTTGGATTATGAAAACTACTGTATTAAACCAACCTATATATCTTTAAATTATCTTGACTTCAAAATTTAAGTCGAAAAACATGTTACTTTGGGGGAGAGGTTATGCTTTTATTTCCACAGGAAATGATATTTTATTCTGGGTTAAGAAAAATTAGATTTGCCGGGTGGTGGTGGCACATGCCTTTAATCCCAGCACTCGGGAGGCAGAGCCAGGTGGATTCCTGTGAGTTCGAGGCCAGCATGGGCTACCAAGTGAGTTCCAGGAAAGGCGCAAAGCTACACAAAGAAACCCTGTCTCGAAAAGCCAAAAAAAAAAAAAAGAAAGAAAGAAAGAAAGAAAGAAAGAAAGAAAGAAAGAAAGAAAGAAAGAAAGAAAGAAAGAAAGAAAGAAGGAAAAGAAAAGAAAAGAAAAGAAAAGAAAAGAAAAGAAAAGAAAAGAAAAGTCAGATTTGATCAAGGAAGACCTCCTGAAAAATCTCCAATGGGAACAGACTTTTTTTATGCAGTATTTCATAGTGCCTCTGTTGCAGTTTCCTCTGAGTTCTGCATCCAGAATGGTCTTAAGTCTGCTGGCTGAGATGATCCAGCCTCAGAGACTACTCCAGTCAGGACTTGACCATGATCTTGAACTTTCTCATGTTCCCCCAAAGATTACCAGCACCCCCAATCAACAGGAATTAGTCTAGAAAACTGCACCCACATTCCCCAAAAAAAAATGGTTTATAGATATTTATTATCATTTTAGGGAGGTTGGTTACAAGTTGTCATGGGCCAGGCAGTTGTGGCACACGCCTTTAATCCAGCACTCAGGGGGTATAGCTAGGCAGATCTCTGTGAGTTCATGGCCATCCTGATCTACAGAGCAAAATCCAGGACAGGTACCAAAACTACACAGAGAAACCCTGTCTCAAAAAAAAAAAAATGCAAGTTGTTATGGATAATGGTGAGGAAATAAACTAAACAAAACAGATTAGAGTCACGAATCTTGTTCTGAAAAGATAAAGGGAGATATAGAAATGATAGGATAAAAGGTAGATTATCAAATCTACTTTAATCAAAAAAACAACTATTAATCTTACACATTTTGTATTAGTATGATTTTAGTTTATTGATACAAATTTAAAGTTAATTTTGTTATATGTATATTTCTACTCTTTTAAAGATATTATGTTTATGCAGCTCATTTAAAAATGTAATGTAGCCGGGCAGTGGTGGCTCATGCCTTTAATCCCAGCACTCGGGAGGCAGAGGCAGGTGGATCTCTATGAGTTCGAGGCCAGCCTGGTCTACAAAGTGAGTTCCAGGAAAGGCGCAAAGCTACACAGAGAAACCCTGTCTAGAGGGGGGGAAAATGTAATGTATACTTAAGAAATACAGATTAATAGTCATCTATAATAGTCAAACCTATAATCATGTTAGTTAGGTTTTCTAGGTATACAGAGATATCTTTCAGATAGATGGGTCATCTTCAAACACTTCAAAGACCCACAGAATATGTCATTTAAATGTTTTAATAACTCAGACTTTTCATGACAGTGAGACATGTCTGCTTCTGGCAGCATCAATCTACTTCAGAGAAAATGATGGGCATCAAAGAGACTCCATATGGGGTTTGTTTTCTTTATAGCAAAAGCTAGCCACGTGGACAGAGAAACTGCCCTTGCTTCAATTGCTGACAGTTACTGTCCAAACTGGACCAGCAGGACACAAAGAAGGCAACTGCTGAGCTTTGTCAAGACAAGATAAGACAGTCCTTCAAAATTTCTTGCTTCACAGGAAAGTCTGTCAGATGTGTTAGGCCTGTAGACCAAAGATGGATGCCCCAACGTTGCAGAGAACTTTGGGTGACTGTCCAAGCAGCATGATGACCCTGTTATTAGGTAACATTTCATCCTCCTGGAGTCTTTGATGGAGTTAAAGACTAGATAAACTTACAGTTTTTCTTAGTTATAATAAAAAAGGTAAATTAGATTGAGACTTTAGACTCACCAAGAGAAGATAGATAAAATATTTTCTCTAATTTTGTCAAATACAAATAGACTAGATATTGTCACTGTAATTCTTACTTAATAACTCTTTTTATTGTATACAATTTTGCTATGTTAAAGTTAAAGCCTTCGTTTTTAATTAGACAAAAAGGAAGAAATGCTGTGGAATAATCCTTTTGTACACTGTGAAGATCTGTCGCTGTGATTGGTTTAATAAACAAGCTGACTAGCCAATAGCTGAACAGGACAAAGTTAGGCAGCGGGAAGGCCAAATTGAGAATGCTGGGAAAGAAAAAGGTGGAGTCAGGGTCACCAGCCAGACACAGAAGGAGCCAGAGATAAACATGCCATTCTAATAAAAGTACTGCCACATGGCAGAGTGTAAATAAGGGATATGGGTTAACTTAATATGTAAGAGCTAGTTAGTAATAAGCCTGAGCTATTGGCCAAGCATTTATAAGTAATAT